GAGACTTCTTTGCTTCTCACTCCTGTCACCACCCTGTCTTTCAAGATGTCTTCATGAGCCTGGCGTTCAGTTGTACAACTCTAACTGAGGGCAGTCCTTGACCTGCCAAAGCTAAGTACTGGAGATAATGTGCCAGCATGAAAAAAAGAAACCTTGTAGAAGGAAACTGCACTGTTATTGCTAGAAAACTCTTTAAACCAATCCTACAGGTCTTTCAGCAGCAGCAGTGGTAGAGAAAGGATATGCCAATGGCAGGATGTGGTAGAAGGGACAAAGTAGCCACATCAGGTCTCGCCACAAGCTCAGGATGTTACACTTTTACAGCTCAAAACTATGCCATGAAAAGCAAATCTGACACAAGCAAGCATAAACTCACACATGCTTATACACACTTACAGAAAATATGTCTCAACCACAAATATTTTTTACTATTTTTCACCGGTTGGATGATCACTTCTGTAACAACATCTTTGACATACCATGTCAAAGAAGAAGTCCTGGGTGGCATTTTTGCACATTTTAACAAGGCACTGGTCTTTGCTGAACTGGCTTACACAGCTCTGGCCCACCTGCTGGGAATACCACCCTTGACACTTGGGCAAAAACAAATCTAAAAGTTTGGGAATTTGGGAACTCTCAGCAGCTGACTTCCTCTACACTGCAGGGAAAGGCAACAACAAAGAGTCTGGTAGAGAGCAGAAAAAGGTGGACTGTTTTGTTAAAATTGGTGCCTGACATAGAGCAAGCGTCAGTGGAATAACCACCCCTAAGTCATTCTGCAGTTATGCTTGGTACCTATTGGCTAGATTACCCCTTCTTCTTTTGGGTAAACTCTTCGATCTCAGATCTCTAATAACAAGGAAAATCTCCTTGCTTGTTAGCAGGTTATACTCAAAAGGGAGCAAGTGACCTTGTCATCTCCTTATTCCCTGGCTGAGCCATATGTAGCACAAACATCCCAAGAGAAAGCTCTGGGAAAAAGCCAGGCTTGTTGAATGCACATGAACTGCAGTGTTTTTAAGGTGATATCACTCCTCCTACTGCTTGGCCCACGCTGTCTTGATGTGGGTCAGACTGTAAATGACACGATTTGGTTGCCACCGTGCTAACCTCTACATTCCTCTGACTCCGAGGGAGAAAGTCTCTTTTTCCTTTCTCACCTGGCTTCAAATGGAAGTCTCATGAATGCTGTGGATTTAGTGTGTAGTTTTATAATTGTGGTTTTATTTGAATTGCCACAAAAATGTTGGGTGAGATTAAACACAGGCTTCTCCTTTTGAAGAGGTCTGTGCTTAATATGACTTTTACACCCTGTTTTCTCACTAACTTTTAATTTTTTTCTCCTTTGAGTCTAGTTGCAACTCCAGCTCCTACGCTGCAGTTGTGAGAGCCTTTCCTTGGTACTGTGCTAAGTGATATTTATGCATAAACTTTTGCTAATTGCTGATTCCATTGGCATTCATGAACCTATGCTGGAATGAATGAAGCTTTCATTCATGTTTATATATTAGTTTCCAACATTTGTATGTTTGTAATCATTAGGCTAAAACCAGCTTTCATTTGCAGAGATGTAAACTGAGGGTAACTGAGTCAAGAGATACACTCTATTATGTACACGGAAAGATTTTTTTCTAGTATCATTGAGAGTCGAGTTAATCACAGAAACTTCCCCATTCCATAACTCAATGTAGTCTGTTCAGGACTGCTAACTATGGTTATGGCTACATTAACAAGTGGTTTGGATCAACAGAAGTCAATCTTTAGAGCTCATTTTTTGCTGGGGACCTTACATAGGTACTTCTACAGGTTGCTGGGACTCAGTTCAGATAAGCTCTAAGTTTGCTCATGTGTACTAATACTCTCTTACTGCTGCAGCTCACCTCCCAGGCTAGTTCTGTCCAAAGAGAATCCAGGTCGGGACCTGCGGTGCCCTTCCTGATGAGAACCCGTGCTCAGCAAGCGGGCAACAGTTGAGCGTTGCCTGAAAAGCGCTCTCCTGATCTAACCAATGAACACACTAACACGGACACACCCTATGCGTAAATTACAGAGACTTAACAATTAGAATATCTCTGTGGCAATCCCTAGCCATCAACAATTTTCCCAGCCGTATAATTGCTACTATTAACAACACAAGTTCCCAATTTAACAAATGGAAGCAAGATAAATGCCCACATCGTTCTGGCTTCTCCCAGCTTTGTGATTCAGAGCATAGCAATCTGTTGCCCTTGGTCTTTTGGAAATAGTGCCTATGTGATAATTTTAATGACAATGCAGCACTTCTTCTGGTCTGTTCTGGATAACTGAGGGCTTTGATTGCTTTATCATGGAGGAGGTTCTGATGGTCAAGTGAATTGGGTCTATCATGCCCCAAGGACCTGCACCTTATTCTCTTCCAGTCAGCTGCCCATGTCCTTCCTCGCTCTTTACACTTAGCAGCTGGTAACTCAGCACAGAGACCGAAAACCGAGGAGGACACCTAAACACTCTGGAATCAGCAGTGAGTGGAACCAAGGAGGTTTCTGGTGTAGAACCATGGGAGAGGATGGGTGGTAGGAAGAGGTGATGTGATACATTGCTTAGATTTTCTGTGTCCTTTAGCATTGCTGCCTTGGAGGGGAACTGCTTTCCTCTCCAATACTCTCCCATCTTTTGGCATTTGCTCTGGTTTGAATGCCTCCAGCATGGGAAACCAGGCTTCCTGCCTCCCTGTATTCAGAAATTTTGTCAATCCTTTCTTCATGTCTTGCTATGCTGCTGCAAAAAAGCATCATCTGTGTGCATAGCCTTTTTATTATTATTATCCTTTATCCTCCTCTCTACATGATTTGAGTCTCACTTGTCCCTGAACTAAGTATAGATTATGTCAAGTAAAACTACTTACCCTTAGATAGCAGACAGAGCCCCAGACAGACAGTGGGCCAAGACATAGAAGGATGATATTGTCTTAAAAACACTGCAATTACATGCATTCAACAAGCCTGGCCTTTTCCCAGAGCTGTCTCTGGGGATGTTTGTGCTATGTATGGCTCAGCCAGGAAACAAGGAGATGACAAGGTCTCTTGTTCCCTTTTTCTGTCTAACCTGCTAACAAGCAAGGAGAGTTTCTTTGTTAGTCGAGATCTGAGATCTGGATAGGAAACTGATGGCACCTGCTCACATAGTTTGTCCATAGTAAAAGAAGGACAGCTATATTGTCCCAATCCTTGATCACACTGGCTGCCCAGCAATACTGGTTTGAATAGTTCTCTTGAAAGAGTCCAATATTCCAGATGGGAACAGTTTCTGTAAGCAGTTTTTTCATATGGGCCACAAAAAATGCTCAAATAAAACAGAGGAAAAAAGGTCAAGGTAAATGATAATGTTTTTATGCAGTGACTAAACAGATATTGAACGGTAGCTTTTGAAAAGGTGATATGTTCACACAGCCTTGTCTTGGTCACAGTATCTGCACACACACATCCCATTACAAAGCAAAGTGCAAATTCATCGATAAGCAGTAACACAGGCCTGCTGCTCAGACTCACACAAGTCCTTTGTACAGGATAGTGCACATGTAAATACAAATACCCCTCAATCAGTGAGAATTCTGAAAAGGCAATAATCTTCCAGTTTGTTTTTAGGACAAATCTACCAGGACCTGAGATTACTAAAGCCTCAGTCATTGTAATTATGATGAGGAACAACTTCAGTCAACTTTAGATACACTTTTAGCTTCCTCAGACTGCCAGCTGTATGTTGACAAAGTTTATAACTGAAGGTTAGAGCTTACTTCATTCAGAAAACTCAAGAAAGACTGGGGTGCTAGAAAAGCCTGTGATCACACAGATGTGAGAAAATAAGACAGACCCTGGTTTGTTCAGCTTCACGCAGGTCACATGATGTAATTAATTCCAAATGGTTTTGGTCTCCGTACAGAAACTTCCAGCAAAAGATTTAAACAATGTAATAATTACCTTTTTCCTTTCATGATCCTTCTGACTATGCCTTAATTTATGATGCCTTTAACTAGCATACATGTATCCTGAGGCTATGATGGGTGCACATTTATTTAAGTCAAAAGATAAATCTTAATGAAAGGTTTTTTTAACACAATAATTAATGTATTTTGATCATCATAACAGTAATTATTAGAGGCACAAAAACAGAATCAGATCTTAGAAGAAGCCATGAAGATCCTAAATAGGGTGGAGTAGCAGCACTGCCCTATTATTTTGCCAAGAGATGATACATCAAAGTGGCAGCAGTGAATCATCATACACTACTAGGAACTACACCCAGTGAATCCAAGAGATGGAAATATTAGATGCACTAACCTCCATCATAAATTGCAAATTATAGTCACACAGCAGATAGTGCGCAATGTGCCTTTTCTCATAGTTATCAAGCTATGCTCTCCTTATGCCTCCCCCAACAGGCTCGCTCATCAGATTAAAAGAAAAAAACAGAACTGCAAAAACATAGGAATTTTGGCTTGATATGAAAGGTCCATCTATTTTTAAGAAAATGCTTTTATTTTGTGAAGGATTATAAACTCTCAACATGTGTCAAATAACCCAGTTGAGCAGCCTTGTTCTTTTAGAAACCTCTTACCCGCCAAAACTCCCACTTTTTTTATGGGATTATACACACGATGGGAGGCAAATCCAGAAATGAAAATGAGCACACCCACTCTTACCTGCTGTCATCCTCCTTTAGCAGAAATTACTAGTATTCTGATTTTCTGCCCAGCTATTAATTGTGCCCATACACACACGCAGGCAGACCGTAACTTGCAGGCAGCCCTTTTGCAATGACATACAGTAAAGAAGTCAAACAAAACTGAAAACATTTTTAAAAAAATATCCTACTCATTTTATCTGTGTCAGATTTACTTTAAGCATTAGTTTCCCCAAACTAAAAAAAGTTTAGCAATACACAAGGGCACCTCATATAAAAGAAGATGCCAGCAAAAAGAGAGGAATAAAGAGTTCCTTAAAGAAAAGGATATAGTATGGTACCTTTTCCAGTCAAAGTTTCTTCTTGTATTTTCCTCACAGCTTCTTGGCCCTCACTCTCACTGTTTCCAGCTGTTACAATACAGAAAATGGAAAATTAGCAATGCAATCAACTTAAGGACAATGAATATAGGCATGCCACTATGAAGTGCTAACCACAGTGTAAAACCAGTATGAAGTTTTTAGGTGAAAAGGTGAGATTCGTTACCGTCAGGCAGAAGAGGTTTTCAGAGAAGGCTGTACAAATGCACTGCTGTTCACACGAGCTCTGCCTGTTTATCTATCATTCATTTACTCATACAAGACAGGACCATGTGCTGGCTGGACCAGCAGAATTGAGATGTGAATCTGTGAGCTAAGTGAATTATATCACATCCAGATTCTACAAAAGCTTCACTATAGGTTAGAGCTGACCTCCCCTCACTCTTTTTCCAAAATTAAGACTTCCACAGTTGGAAAGGCCCCACTACCCTGGCCCAAATGCTCAGGAAAAGTTTTACTAGCGCTAACGTAAAATGTGATTAAGCATCAAATAAATGCCTTTTGTGCCATTCAGCTTAGGTGGGCAGTTAATAATTGTCTCACATTTGTTTGGCAATTTTTTTGTAACTACTTATATCAAAGGAAAAAACACAAGCAATAACAAAATAATGTTGTGGTTTAGCCCCAGCCAGCAACTAAGCACCACGCAGCCACTCACTCACTTCCCCCCACCCAGTGGGATGGTGGAGGAAATCGGAAAAAAAAAGTAAAACTTGTGTGTTGAGATAAGAACAGTTTAATGGAGCAGAAAAGAAGAAACTAATAATGATAATGATAACACTAATAAAATGACAATAGTAGTAATAAAAGGATTGGAATACGCAACTGATGCACAATGCACTTGCTCACCACTCGCCGACTGACACCCTGTTAGTCCCCGAGTGGCGATTCCCCCCACCCCTACTCCCCCCAGTTTATACACTAGACAGGATGTCACACAGTATGGAAAACCCCTTTGGCCAGTTTGGGTCAGCTGCCCTGGCTGTGTCCCCTCCCAACTTCTTGTGCCCCTCCAGCCTTCTTGCTGGCTGGGCAGGAGAAGCTGAAAAATCCTTGACTTAGTCTAAACACTACTTAGCAACAACTGAAAACATCAGTGTGTTATCAACATTCTTCACATACTGAACCCAAAACATAGCACTATACCAGCTACTAGGAAGACAATTAACTCTATCCCAGCTGAAACCAGGACAGTAGTACAAGTTAATTTTTTTAAATTAACATTCCATTTATCCATCCACAAACATTTTCCATAGCATGACACATCAAAATACCTACTGTTTATTATCTAAATTGGATATAAATACTGATATCTCTTATGAATTCCATGAAGTTGCCTTCTTCCCAAGATTATATAAACCTCTGCTGTGGTTTCTATACAGGCTTTATCTTGCACCGCTCTACGAGTGTCCTGTCCTCTCATTCGCTTGTTAGTTATGCAGCAGAAACTTAAGGCTTTCTACTTTTTTCCTCACTTTTTTTTTAGTAACAGTGAATCAGCTCTACCAAAGACAAGGAAAGAATCACAGCGTCACGGAATAAGTTGAAGTTGGAAGGGACCTCAGGAGGTCATCTGGTTCAACCTCCTGCTCACGTTAGTTCGTACATGCTCGTATTTACTTTAAGGTGTTAGAACATGCTTTATAGTGCTATTAAACTGGATTCATTTGATCTCACACAGAATGTGTTCAAAAAGTGGGAGTAAACCCTCTGAGATAGATCATGTGTCATCCATCCGGTGCACCAGCTGGAGGCTCAGAGCTCTGAATGGAGATTTTGGGGACAACCTGACCACTTTGAGGAGGTAGGCTAATGCATTCTTTTGAGGATGGAGTTTTTGCTGCGCTTCTGCAGTAAAAACCAATGATTTGCAGCAAATCTTTGTTTTCATGATACGCAAGAAGGCTCAATTTTTACATAAATGTAGCCAAAATAAAGACATTTAGCATTCCAGATACTGGAGAGAAAATAATTCTCACATAAAACGTAGAGTCATACCGGTCTAAAACTGTTCTCTATAAATTCCATTAACTATGGAATTATATTGCTCAGACTGACTAAGAAAGAAAGAAAAGAAAAAAAAAAACAACACCAAACCAAAAAAAACAAAGCAGATATTTGCAGTATTTTCTTCTTGATGTTGTTTTTTTTTTCCCCTTTAAAACCATCCAGCCTTGTACAGAACAGAAACATTCAGCTTGATGCTAATTTCCAGATACAGCTGCAGCATCAGCAAAGAAACCCTCCAGAGAAACTGCCATTTCTGGGGAAATCTGTGCACAGGGGTTATGGGCAAGAGATCAGTTTTCCTCACTGTTTCACCTCAAGTGATGTACTAGAGTAAGATTTCAAACTCAGTATGTTATTACACCGGATAGAGTTAGGCTAGAAACAAAAATACTTTGGTTCCAATTCTGTGAAGGTCTTATTTGATTCCCCTTTCGTTCATTCAGCACTCCTCACACAGAGAACAGGCTTATTAAAGCCTCCAGTGTCTTGATTTAACTCTCAGTATGCCCACTTAATTTGTTCTTTTAAAAGAGTTTGTGTTCACAACAAATTTTAATTTGCTTTATTTTGCCATTATATAAATGGTTATTCATTAAAGCTCAGTGCCTTCCAAATGAGCTCATTTTATTCATATTTGCATATTTTTCACTCTAGACCACTGGGAAAAAAATAATTATTTTGCTAAACAGTCACTTCAGATGTCTGGTTCCAGACTGATTCAACAGAGAGTTTGAAAACCAGGTTCTGGAGGTTGGACTATCACAAAATTGAAATAGCCTCAATGAAAGCTGCTACTCTAGTACAAGCTTTTAAAATCCTTCTCTCAAAGAAAATCCTGTAAGAAAGAATAAAGACACTGAACAAATGACCAAAATCCTTACAAAAAATTCAAAGACACATATATCAGAAAGATACCATAGGACTGGGAGAGTAATCTACGCTTCTGAGTTAGCTTAAGGAGATCAGCATCCCCTTGCTGAGGATGTGTGGGAGAGGAAAGGGACATTGCACTGTTGTACTGCTTCTCTTCTAGTACATCCTTCTGGGATCCTCTAAGCAAAGTGAGTGGCAGGCATGAAAACGAACAACTTCCTTTTAAGTGCTTGCTACATTAATTATTCAAAATTCAAAAAGTACTTTTTAAGTCACCAAGCTAACACAATCAGCTTTAGGTTGGGAAAAATAAAAAATAATTTGTATCTTCTTGATGAAGATGGGTCACTAAAAGGCACAACCTTCAAGTGTACTGAACAGGAGCACAGCTCTCTAAACTAAGGAGGAGGACAGTTTACTATATGAGGGTCAAATTCTTACCACCATCAGCTGGTTTCGATCCTCGGTAGCATATTTGTAGTGATTCTTTAAAAAACTTTGTGATACACAGGAGAATCCTCTGGCTGGACTTTTTGCCAATGATTCACCATAATTTTCATACGTTTGACATGCCAGAATTTATCCATGCCAGAATTTATCCATTTTAAGTGCTACAGCATCTGTAGCGTAAGATCTGCCTACTCTGGATTCAAGTGGTTTGGAGGGAAGGATAAGAAAGGATAGACAGACCACGTTTTTTATGCAGTGAGGGAATCTGAAGAAAAGCTTTGAGAAAAAGGGATTCAATGTCTTGAGAGCTTACATCATCAAAGTACCCAAAACCGTAATAATCTTGCTTTTCATGCTAATTTAAAGTACCTGTTGGGAACTCAAAATAGATACAGTTGTCTCAAGAACTGTTTATGCAAGCTGTTCAGTGCCCTATCCGATGTTTTTCTTCTACGTAGTCCCCACAGAATAGTGAAAAATTCAGGTGAGACTGATTCAATAACAATGCTGACTACAATCAATTCTGAAAATAAAACTAATAACATAAAAATAAATTCAAGTCTGAATGGATGCACCTGTATAAAATAAGATGCCATTTTAATGGCATGAAAAATTCTAATTCTTAGTAAAATACTGGAACTTATGTTGAAAAAAAGGATGGAAAACAGATTTAAACACAACTTTTAGTCAAAAAAATTTACTCTCCTCTTCAACAGTCATCTACATAAATGCCGCAAGTCAAAGCACGTCGATCTAAAGCCACCACAGAAGTACAGAGAGAAATTCTTATCAGCAGCAATAGGCTTTTGGATCTTACCCTAAAGGTTAGGCTCTGTCATCTTAATCACTTAAGTAGATCCTAACTCTGAAAGTTATTTCAGGGATTTCAATAGAATTATGACAGAGGGTTGCTCAGCTTGAATAAGGATGGCGAAACCACAGCCCATAGAAACCCACCACGGCTGGGTAACATTGATACTATAACTAGTTAAGGGGTCCTGATACATCTCTATGTACTATTTATACAATATTTTCAATTTCTTTGAATTTGAAAATCTCTCCAAAAGAATAACTGCTATTCACGCTCATAATTTATGTACAAAATTGATCCTGATAAAAACACAGGACCTTTTCCAATTGGTGTTTTGCAAAAATAGGAATTTGCAATCTTGTCGTTTCAAGGGAATGTACTGCAGGGCATTATAAAGAAATCTAAAATAGTCTGTGAACAATGATACAGCCTGTAAAGCTTAAGGTTGCCTGGAGAGAATAAACCCACATATCCAAAAAGCCCTCACTTATCAAAGTTAGCAGGGGGAGAAATTCCCAACTTTCAGCAAGATAACACAAAAACGAAACACAAATAAAAACTTTTTGAGATGAACACTGAGAAGATGCAAACCACCCAGGACACGGCGGTCCAGGGAAAGACCCGACCCCTCCAGCCTGGAGCCCAAGAGCCACGCTGTGCACCAAGGCAGCCCTCAGCCTGCGATAAACCCCACTGCGGCGAACCCCGGGAGGGGAGGCAGGGGTGAGCTGCCCGTCGGCAGGACAGCCGTGCCGGCACATCGCCCCCCAGCCCTCCCCACGCACCCCAGCCTCTGGCAAGTGTGACCCCCTCATTCAGCAGTGCCTGGGGAACCTGTCTACCTGAGATAAATGCTCATCCCTTGACTAACTTAGCCGTAATTACA